AGCTAGAGCTCTTTCCCTTTCCTTTCTGAATAATTCAGCTCCAAAGCCATTCAATTAGATGGAGCAGAACAAGCCAGGCTCTGTGCAGGGGTGGGGTGGCAGGGCACACTGCAGGGCACGAGTGCTCAACTGGCTGAGGAGGGCATCTGTGTGGCTGCGGAGAGAGGGGTGGGAGATTGGGACACACAGGAATGACCAAATAAATACATATATTTAGGCTGTTGGCAGTCTGGTTCCACTGTTGGAGAAGTAACTTAGAAATACTTGTGTACCGTGCAGCATGTACAGTACAGTCCCATGCCCTCACCAAGCTCCAGTCACACTGCCTTGGGTGCACTCTGCTCTTCTCAGTCTCAGAGCTGTAGCTCATGTTTTCCCTCTGCCTGGAAAAGTCCCACCACCTCCTAAACTGGCCAATTCCTACTCACCTTCCAGGTCTCAGTCTAAGAGTCACCTTCTCTGAGAGGCCTCTGCTACAGACTTAATGTGTACATCCCTCCAAAACTCTTATGTTGAAATCCTAATCCCCAGTGTGATGGTATTAGGAGGTGGGGACCTCTCTGCATGGTGATTAGGTGGTGAGGGTAGAGTTCTCATGAAGGGATTAGTGCTCTTATAAAAGAGACCCCAGAGAGTTTCTTCCGCCAGGTGTGAATACAGTGAGAAGATGCCATCTATGAACCTGAGGGCCGGGTCCTCGCCAGACACCAGATCTGCTGGTGCCTTGATCTTGGACTTCCCAGGCTCCAGAACTGTGAGAAATAAACGTTAAGTCACCCAATCTACAGGAAGTTGCTACAGCAGCCCAAATAGACTGAGACACCTTCCCTAATTTACATCCAACCTAATTTACACCCTCCCTGTTACTCTCTCTCGGAGCGCCACGTTCCCTTCTTAAGACAGTTACCTCAGGGCTTCCCTGGTGGCGCAGTGGTTGAGAAACCGCCTGCCAATGCAGAGGACACAGGTTTGAGCCCTGGTCCGGGAAGATCCCACATGCTGCGGAGCAAGCAACTAAGCCCGTGCGCCACAACTACTGAGCCTGAGCTCTAGAGCCCGCAAGCCATAACTACTGAAGCCTGCGCACCTAGAGCCCGTGTTCCGCAACAAGAGAAGCCACCACAGTGAGAAGCCCATGCACTGCATCGAAGAGTAGACCCCGCTCGCAGCAACTAGGGAGAGGCCCACGTGCAGCAACGAAGACCCAACGCAGCCAAAAATAAATAAATAAAAGAAAGAAATTTTTTTTAAAAAAGAGAGAGGGAGAGAGATAGTCACCACCTCGTTAACTATGTTCTTTGAATTCATTTGTTTAATAACTACCTTCCCCATGAGACTGAGAGCCCAGCAGGAGCAGGACCTGGGTCAGCCTTGCTCACCCTGTTCCCAGAGCTCAGCAGTGCCTGAGCCCCTAGATACCGTTGCCAAATGGGTGAAGGAATGAATGACTTTAAATGAACACAGCAGACAGAATGACAGCAAACACACTCCCTCCCCCTAAACGTGGACCATCCCCGAGACTCATGCCTTTGCTTGTGACAGATGAGAGAACAGGGATTCAGTCCATTGTTGGCTGCTGGGAGGGTTTTAAACCCACTAAAGCCAGGGGCTTCTCCAGTCAAAAAGTAAGCCTCTGGCACATAAGCAGTAAGTCACTTGAGAGAGGGTGGGAGGGAAGATGAACTTACTTGTCTGAACCTTGGAAAGAACAACAGTATAAAGGACCACATCTTTTAACTGCTCAGGATTTGGAAAATGCTAAAGTATCATCACATAGAGAAATGGCAGAAAACATGGAAGCTGAGCAGGTGCCCGTATGAACACTGCTTTGAGAGCTTAACTCAGAGCATTTTGGCTTCAGAGCAACTGCCAACACTTAACCTTTAGTGCTCTATTAGCATTATCAATATTTCCCCCTTACAAGGAGCACCAGGCTACTTTTTCCCAAGAAAAAAACAATTTTTTGTTTGTTTGTTTTTTGGCCAGGCTGCACAGCTTGAGGGATCTCAGTTCCCAGACCAGGAACTGAACCTGGGTTACGGCAGCGAAAGCCCGGAATCCTAACCACTAGGTCACCAGGGAACTCCCCGACAATTTAAAAATTTTATGTGAGTGAGTGAGTGAGTGAGTGAGTGAGTGAGTGAGTGTGTGTGTGTGTGTGTGGTTTATGCATTTCAGGTGCCTTACTAAAGCTAATATAATACATGGAAAAGGGTAAACTCATAAGCATGTGAAACTGTGAGAATGACTAACCACGGGGAAAGAAAAATTAACTTTTATGGGAAAGCAGGATACTGATAAACAAAACTGTTCAAAGCATGGTCCAAAAGCTCCTTGGGAGGGACCACCTCACTCCAGGAGAGAATGCATGTTTCACAGTCTGAGAGTGAGGAAAGTCATTTCTGGGATGGGGAATAAACTGTAGAATGTAACAACATTTAGCTTCAGCCTTGAATTTCAGCCCAATCTTCTATTTGGCAGTGGCTCTGAAAGGCTGAATAGATGGATGCCTTGTTCAGCATCATTCCTGGCATCCCTGGACCTGGGCATGGTCAGTGATCCTGGGAGTGTGTGTGATTCTGCCACATCTGATCAGCAGCATGACCTCAGAAACACAAACAAGCCATGTCACCTAGATTAATTGCTCTATCTGAATATTCACTTTAGCTAACAAGGAAGTTTCGTTCCTGCAATATAATACTAGACTTTTAAAATTTGACTACTAAAATGTTAAATATTGTAATTGTGATAGTAATTTAAAATGCTGATAAGTTTTCATATTTATTCTTTTTTTATTTTTATTTATTTATTTATTTTTATTTTATTTTTGCTGTATGCGGGCCTCTCACTGTTGTGGCCTCTCCCGTTGCGGAGCACAGGCTCCGGACGCACAGGCTCAGCGGCCATGGCTCACGGGCCCAGCCGCTCTGCGGCATGTGGGATCTTCCCGGACCGGGGCACGAACCCGTGTCCCCTGCATCGGCAGGCGGACTCTCAACCACTGCGCCACCAGAGAAGCCCTCATATTTATTCTTAAACACCAGAAGTTCATTCTATGGTGAAGATGTTTGGCTCCAGCCTTATATTGATAAGTTGATTTACATTCTCATCCATTTGGCCACAGTGTGTAATATCTCTAATATTAATTAGCATGCTGTGACATAAGATGCTAATTAGCATCCTTTAAAACACTCATTTTCATAGGCAACAATGACAAAATGGGAAATGTCAGGTTCCTGACATAAACCCAGAGCCCTGGTATATTCTATTTCCACAAAGGATACAAACCCAACAGAAACATTTTTGTTTTCCACCCACACCTGACCTAAGACCTATGAATCAGGGGGTTTTACTCCTTTACTGTCCTCTACCGCCACTCCCAAAACACAGCTTCTTCCCAGATTGTAACCTCATATTCTCCCTCCCATCTCAGTAAGAATAAAAGGGAAGCCCAAGGGCTCTATTCTGGTGGTGGGTGAAAAAGGAATGTCAAATGATCAAAGGTCCCTTTGGAAATATAGAGGATATGTGTCCACAGAGCTGGAGACAGGGCACAGCGACTCAGAGCACAATCAGGTGAGTCATCGCGATGCAACTCTAACCACAAACCCCTCCTGAAGCCACCATGCCCCTCACCATCACCAAGTCCTACCACCTCTGGGGAAACAGCCTGTACTGGGCAGAGAGCTCCTTCTCCCCGAGCTGTTTACACAAATGGTGTCATTTGCTAAGCTCACGACAAGAGCAATAATTCATTTACTGAGGTCTGGGCTACGGGTTAAAGTAGAAAGTTAGGTTAGCAGTTTGGAAGAAGACCCCTCTGGTTAGTCGATGCTTTCCTTTTCTGCTCTAGGGAAGAAGGATGAAGAGAACTTTTCCACCTGTCTTTCCATTTTTCCAACTGTTTTCTGCCTTGGCTAATCAGAATATTTTAACTAAATTTCTTCTCATGGAAATAAGGAAAAAATGGAATGGTGGCAAAAAAAAAGACACAAAGTTAACTCAGGCTAGAAATATCTGTAATGCTCCAGTACGCAGAAGTACCCCGAGACTGGCTTGCCAGGAGTTAGTGTGTTAGGAGGCCTCAGGAAATTGGGAGACATGATAAAGGAGGTCAGGCTGGACCTCAGACCCTTCAGCTTCCCATCCAGACAGAATCAGCCAGCGACCCAACTAGGAGACTGTCAAGGAAAAGTGCTACAACATTAAGATAAAACAATGACCAAACACAATTTGGACTATTGATCAGGAAAGATAATGAAGCAATCTGTGATTAGAAGAGAAATGCTAATAAATGAAATAACCTTATGAAATTCTAGTGTGATACATTACATAATTGGGGGAAAAAAGAGAAAATGAAGGTTCAAATTAATAAGTTTCTGCTTATAATCCTCCTTTTGGAATTTCTGACATCAAAGAGCTCAGAAGGCTTCAACTTACTAAGCACCAAGGAAAACAAAAGGCATTTTATTTCTCACTTGAAATGTCGCCCTTGGGAATCTGCTGCACAATCACCAGTAAAGGCCAGGCTGGGAGAAGCTCAAACTTCTCACATTTTCCCAGTCAAGTCATAATATACATAAAAGGAATCCATCCTTTGCCATCCCCCTGGACTCTACATCTGTTTCAAAGTGTTATATGAAAAGCTTGAGAGTTCTGAACACCAGCACAGCAGGTGAGAACTAAGCTTCACGATCATGAACTTCCTCTCTCCACCTTCAGAGCTCAGAGTTCAGGCCCTGAGGGCATCCCCATGTAACACCTGATGGCTCAGTTCAAGTGAGCAGCTCCTCTAGACAGTATTCTAATAGTGGCAGGAGCTGGGGTCAGGAGCATCTCCAGGGAGCCACAAGGTCAGGGAACACCAGCCTCACAGCAGACTCATCCCCTGAGGTTGGACAAGCTCAAGGAGGAAAGAAAAAAGGCTCCCATGGGAGATGGTATTTCACGGATCCCCTCAAACACTTAACCACAGCTTACCTTGGTACAAGGTGGTTGAACTTGTAAGAACTGAAGACCTCTTGGATCTTTTCTTCTACTTTTGCCTGGTAAGGATGCAGGAGATGGGAGAGAGAAAACAAATACAGATGAGACCTTTATCAACTTTATGTTCCTATTGCCACAAATGCCTACCGGCTAGAGTTCCCTGGTGTGACTTTGTACCTCACAGCATAACAAGACTGCATTCAGGGGCTCTGCAGGATGACAGGCTTGGGACAAGGACAGAGAGAGAAAGAATGCCCTGTACCCACATTAGCATCACAACCGACTTCTCCAGTAAACTAATCCATGATATCCAAACTAATGATGATCCTGGAGTTTGGCACCCTGGCACCAGTTACTCAGGGAGCAGGTGAAGATGGACCCCTTTTGCTTGAAAGACCTGTTCTTGCCTGCTCTATGAAGTTGTTTAGGTGTTCGTTAACTGGCCATTCTCAAATATGCAATTAATTTCTGCCAAGGCTCCTACTTCTTATTGTCAGATTTAATGGTTTAAATATAGATTGAACAGTATTAAAATCCCCAAAGGGATTTACAAGAACATCAATCACGGAAACACCAAAGAAATAGCACATCTGGTCATTGGACCTGTGTCACACACCAGACTCCACAGTCCCATAAAACAAAGGATCTTGGAAAGTCAGGTCACAAAAGGAATGAGATGACCTATCTCCTCTGAAGATCACACCATGATGTGGTCACACAGCACAGCTTCTGTAAGGAAAGGGTACGGCAGTGCAGGAGGGGGCTGGTCAACGGGATACAGGGTTTCACCTTCACAGCCATCCCTGCTTTGTGGTGAGGCAAGTCCTTGCTGAGATTTCAAGATATATAATAATGTCCTCTCTGGGAAATATCAAAAATGCATTATTTGTTTCTGAAACACCTGAGTTAGAGCTTCCAGTCCCTTCGACAAGTGTCCAAAAATCACAATGAGGGGAGCAGTGATGTGAATCAGCTAAAATGGCAGCCCATCTAAAATTCATTTATATTTGGTTTTAGGATATGCTTTAGTATTTGCCTTTGAACATGAGTTTCAGGGATTACCTGGCCAAGAATTTATAATACTTCAAAAAACAGACTGAAGTCACTGTGAGAATTCGACTCAGAAGAAGTAAGAAAGTTCTCCCAGACCCCTCACGATGCTTTCTCCATGCCAGACACTGATGTGGGACTAATACAAAGCACCAGCCTAAATGAAACACAGACTGCATTTTTCAGTTGTGCCTTCCTTGGCTATACGTTGAAAGGGATAAAAAATATATATATACGAGAAACATATGTCAGGAAGATCATTAAATAAAAATATTTGCCTACCAGGTTTGGACACAGAGTTTTTCTGGGCAGGAGCGCACTGTGCCCCCCTTTGCCTGCCAGATCAGTAAAGCTATTCTTTCTGCTTCACCCGAAACTCTATCTCCAAGATTCGATTCAGCCCCAGTGCACAGAGGTCGAGTTTTCAGCATCACTAGGAGTAGAACTGCTGGATAATTATGATAACTTTATGTTTAATCATTTGAGGAACTGCCAGACTGTTTTCCAGAGCAGTTGTACCATTTTATATTCCCATCAGCAGTATATGAGAGCTCCAATTTCTTCTTCACATCCTCAGCAACACATTATTATCTATGTTTCTGATCATAGGCATCCTAGTGTGTGTCAAGTAGTATCTCACTAGTTGTTTTTTCTTAAATAAATTTATTTTATTTATTTATTTTTGGCTGCGTTGGGTCTTCGTTGCTGCATGTGGGCTTCTCCCTAGTTGCAGCGAGCGGGGGCTACTCTTCATTGCACGGGCTTCTCACTGTGGTGGCTTCTCTTGTTGCAGAACACGGGCTCTAGGCGTGCGGGCTTCAGTAGTTGCAGCACGTGGGCTCAGTAGTTGTGGCTCGCGGGCTCCAGAGTGCAGGCTCAGTAGTTGTGGCACACGGGTTTAGCTGCTCCGTGGCATGTGAGATTTTCCAAGACCAGGGCTCGAACCTGTGTCCCCTGCATTGGCAGGTGGATTCTTAACCACTGAGCCACCAGGGAAGTCCTCACTATAGTTTTGATTGCCTTTCCCTGATGACTAATGATGTTGAGCATCTTTTTACAGGCTAATTGGCCATCTGTAGATATTCTTCGGAGAAATGTCTATTCAGATCTTTGTCCATTTTTTAAATTGGGTTGTCTTTTTATTAATGAATTGTAATAAGCCCTTATATATTCTATCAATAGATACAAGTTCCTTGTCATATTCCCATTCTGTGGGTTGTCTTTAGGAACTAGTGTATTTTTTTTTTTTTTTTTTTTTTTTTGCAGTACACGGGCCTCTCACTGCTGTGGTCTCTCCCGTTGCGGAGCACAGGCTCCGGACGCGCAGGCTCAGCGGCCATGGCTCAAGGCTCCAGCCGCTCCGCAGCATGTGGGATCTTCCCGGACCGGGGCACGAACCCGTGTCCCATGCATCAGCGGGCAGACTCTCAACCACTGCGCCACCAGGGAAGCCCAGGAACTAGTGTATTTTTTAATAGAAAAAGATCACTTCAGGGCACAAAGTATGATTTTTAGAGTACAAATTTTAAAATAATACTAGCAATAAGCCTGTATTTTTTTTGACAAATACTAATGGATTAATATAGAAACTAAAAAATAGTCATCTGAGGGTAAGAAAATGAAAGTAATCCCCAAATATGCAACATCCGTTTCTGCCTCTCCTTCTCCACATACAATACAGTCTGCGAGTGTGATATAAATCTCAGTAATTTTGTCACTGGGAAGATGTAAGCATTCTTTGAATGTTCTGATTTGCATAGTGGAAGGAAAGGAAGAAAGCTAGTTGTATACAAAAGTGTTAACACAGCAGGCCTGAGACTACTATCCTTAGAAAGGCCTACTTGAAAGGTAGACCCTGGCTGGAGTCTGGGAGCCTGGATCTCGGGAGGGCTCTCACCATTCCCAGAACAGATAAGAGAGGCTCACTGAGCCTAAACTGTATAAACAACGTGGTTTATGGTGAACAGCTATCTTCCTTCTGGGAGTCTGGAATTATGCTAGAAAGAGGGTGCCTATGTGACCAGTCCCAGTAAAAACCACGAGCACCCAGTCTCTAATGAGCTTCCCTGGTAGCTCTGCATGTGTGGTCACAATTCAATGCTGGAGAAATTAAACACGTCCTCTGTGACTCCACTGGGAGAGAACTCCTGGAAGCTTGTGCCTCGTTTCCTGCAGACTTCACCCCATGAGCCTTTTCCCTTGGCTGATTTTGTTCTGTAGCCTGTTGTTGTAATAAATCATAACCATGAGTACAGCTATATGCTGCGTTCTCTGAATCTTTGTGTAAGCAGATAAGGTAGAGGGTCCCCGGAGAAAGAAAATCAGGCATGGCTTTCTTGACATAAGAGAGGCCATTTTGGCCTAAGCCATTCTGGGATCTAAGCCTGGCCACAATGCTTGCCCTTTAATAGGTCTTAGAAATCAATGATCTTAAGAGAAGAAAGAATGCAGATGCTGACTGTTATCAGGCAAGAGAAATAACAATAGCAAAGATAATATATTAGTTATAAAGACTCCCAGTTCTCTTTCAATGGTAAAGAGTAGCCTGAAGCCTCAACCACCAGATGTACTGGAACCTAAGGGCTGATGATGTTGACCTTTTCTGAACTTCTGACTTCAATCAACTAAAGCTTGGACTCTGTTGACCACCCAAGCCCCATCATGAATATGCATGTACCCTTAGCTTTAAACTTCCCCAATTTTGCTGTTGGGAGAGACACTGCTTTGGGAAAGATCCCCAGTGTTCTCCTTACTTGCTGCAAGTAATAAATCCTTCCTTCTCCCGATCTTTGGCTTGGTTGTGTCTTTTGGCTCAACACTCACCAAGAGGCAAACCAGTTTTCAGGTAACACTAGTAGTGAATCAGTGAACCTAGGAGTGGTCTTGGGGACCTCCAAAACATTAGGAGAATGAGAAATTTAGCCTTTGAAACAGAATTAAGAGAAGCAGTCACAACAATTGCATAATGTCTATGAAGCAAGATCTATAATTAAATTTCTTTTTAAAATTTTATCAAAATTCTCACTTCAAATATAGGAGAACTGGGGGTAACTATTAAAAAACTAAGTTACCTAAGTCATGAAGAACTCTCTACACAGCTCTCAAATCAGAATTAGGAAGGGAGGGAGGGAGGGAGGGAGGGAGGGAGGGAGGGAGGGAGGGAGGGAGGGAGGGAGGGAGGGAGGGAGGGAGGGAGGGAGGGAGGGAGGGAGGGAGGGAGGGAGGGAGGGAGGGAGGGAGGGAGGGAGGGAGGGAGGGAGGGAGGGAGGGAGGGAGGGAGGGAGGGAGGGAGGGAGGGAGGGAGGGAGGGAGGGAGGGAGGGAGGGAGGGAGGGAGGGAGGGAGGGAGGGAGGGAGGGAGGGAGGGAGGGAGGGAGGGAGGGAGGGAGGGAGGGAGGGAGGGAGGGAGGGAGGGAGGGAGGGAGGGAGGGAGGGAGGGAGGGAGGGAGGGAGGGAGGGAGGGAGGGAGGGAGGGAGGGAGGGAGGGAGGGAGGGAGGGAGGGAGGGAGGGAGGGAGGGAGGGAGGGAGGGAGGGAGGGAGGGAGGGAGGGAGGGAGGGAGGGAGGGAGGGAGGGAGGGAGGGAGGGAGGGAGGGAGGGAGGGAGGGAGGGAGGGAGGGAGGGAGGGAGGGAGGGAGGGAGGGAGGGAGGGAGGGAGGGAGGGAGGGAGGGAGGGAGGGAGGGAGGGAGGGAGGGAGGGAGGGAGGGAGGGAGGGAGGGAGGGAGGGAGGGAGGGAGGGAGGGAGGGAGGGAGGGAGGGAGGGAGGGAGGGAGGGAGGGAGGGAGGGAGGGAGGGAGGGAGGGAGGGAGGGAGGGAGGGAGGGAGGGAGGGAGGGAGGGAGGGAGGGAGGGAGGGAGGGAGGGAGGGAGGGAGGGAGGGAGGGAGGAAGGGAGGGAGGGAGGGAGGGGGGAGGGAAGGAAGGAAGGAAGGAAGGAAGGAAGGAGGGAGGGATCGGCTTCAACATAGGGATGCTAAAGCATGTCTGCTTTCCCTGGCCTTTCATTTTATCT